GACCGGAGCAGAGAGGGTGAGAGAGAGAGAGAGAGAGAGAGAGAGAGGGAGGAGAAAGAGAGTGAGAGAGACGCACATACACACACACAGAGAGACAGTTAAGTCTTTCCAGATGGGATTTTGAAGCTGGCGATCTGAATCTCTGGGCAGAGCTGCATGTGGATCTGCTTGTGCTTGTGTGTGTGTGTGTGTGTGTGTAACAGTTGTGATCGGCTGTCCTGTACTCCCAGAGAGATTCCAGTATAAATTAGTCGTCTGTAATGATTTTAATCTCCCTGAGCAGTTCCTCCTGTGTCTGCTGAGTCAGATTCAAGCTTTACTGGCATGATTGTCAACATATACAATTTTGCCAAAGCATAAAAGTACTTAGAGTAGAGAAATAGACAATAAATAACTAACATTTAAAAGTTTTGATGTTGGTAAGATTTTTCAGTGTTTTTGAAAGAAGTCTCTTATGCTCACCAAGGCTGCATTTATTTGATCAAAAATGCAGTAAAAAGGGCAATATTGTAAATTAGTATTGCAGTTTTAAATAACTGTTTTGTAATTGAATATATTTTAAAGTGTAATATATTCCTGTGATGACAAAGCTGAATTTTCAGCATTCATTACTCCAGTCTCCAGTTTCACATAATACTTCAGATATCAGTCTAATTTGGAGCTCAAGAAACATTTTTTTTTATAATTAGTGTTTAAAACAGTTCATTACCTTTTGTGGAAACCTTGATGTATTTAATACATTACATGAATATACATTTTAAAACAGCATTTATTAGAAATGGATATTTTTATTTGGATAGTTTTTTATTGCACTTTTGATCCATTTTAATGCTTCCATGCTGAAAAAAAGCATTAGTTTCTTCTGACCCCAATCTATAATAATAGTTTATTATTTGGTCTATAATACTAGACCAAATTATATATAAAACAATAAAATAAAACTGAAAACACAGTCTCAGGGTTACTTCAGCACACAAACCACTAGCTGAATCAGCTCATTCACAGCCCTGACTCGTCTGCAAGAACATTTGTTCCATTTAACTTCACAGCGGTTCCTCATACAAAGCCTCAAACATCAGAAAGAAGCCTGAAATGAGAATAAAGACAGACATCTCTACTGGCGCACAGATTTGGAAGTAATATTCGGGGCTGTAGCAACTGATGCGTCTTTCCCACTTTCAGAAATTAAGTTCATACCTACCCACTTGTCGGGAAAAAAATCATTATATTTTAAAGGGGTCATATGATGCGATTTCAAGTTTTCTTTTCTCTTTGGAATGTTACAAGCTGTTCGTGAATAGATAAGATCCCTAAAGTTGCAAAGACTAAAGTCTCAAACCCAAAGAGATATTCTTTATAAAAGTTAAGACTCGTCCACGCCCTCCTAAAACGCCTTGTTTAAACACGCCCCCACATGTCTATGGATAGCTGGCCAATCAGAGCACACCTCGCTTTTCAGACCGATGAGCTTTGTAAAAATCGAAACGCGTTTCAGAAAGGCGGGGCATAGAGGAGCAACAATAATGTACAGTATGTGGAAAATAATGTGTTTTTTGAACCTTAAACCGCATAAACACATTTCATTACACCAAATACACAAAATAATATTATTTTTTAGCAACGTCATATGACCTCTTTAAGAGCTTTGTTTTGATCAGCCAAAAAACTAAAAGTAGGCAGCCAACGTGAAATTATGAAAAAGCAGATGCACTTCCAAAAATTAGTTTGGACTTTGTTTGGGCAATGTGTCACCTCAACTTTTCAGACTCTTCTTGAACCTCTGGTAAGATTACATTACACAGTTAATGATTGTTTGAAGGAAAACAATAGCGAAGGATCTGAGAGATTAGGGCTGTAGGAACAAATCAATGTAGGTTTGATTCTGGACTATTAGCGCGGTCACAACTCTATCACTACTACATCCTGGAGTTTGGTAGTTAACAACAGGTTGCCTGATAGGGACGGTCATGTAATTACATGTAACTTTCAGTACAATGCTTTGGATGAAAAGTGTTTGCTACAAAGTAAGTAACTAAAAAGGTTTGGTCTGTGATGGGCTTTCACTCAGTTTTAAAATCAACCTGACACAGCGCTCGCATAGTAGTCTCCAAGTGCAACAGTATTTATAGAGAAAAACATGTGACACTGACTTAAATATACGAATGACAATTTAAAACTCAAATTTCATTTTGAAAAAAAAAATTTAAAAGACAAACTTTTTCTTTGGAATAATGTGAATGAATTGTGTAGAACAAGACTAAGAAAGCTAATTTTAGGTTCATGCTAACTTAGATGAAATGTGGTGTGTACTGCCACCTACAAGAACACACGCAGCATTGCAGGCACAGAAATGCTTCTATTAGCATTACTTAATATGGGAAACGCTTACAGCAGGAGAGAAATAGATGCTTTTGGGAAATGTAATGACAGATAATAAAACAAAGTATCATGAAACAAGAATGTGAATGTTGTTAATTGCTACTTAAATATTACAATGGAATGGATCTAACAAAAATAATCTAATTCTAATCTTAATCAAGTTGATTAATGGTAATGTGTTGCATTTCTCAGTTTTTCTTTTTTTCCAAATGTGTTCTGCAAAGCATTCTAATTAAGGACAGCTTTGATTCAGCAGCACATAGGGCTGACGTGGGTATGATCACACAACCTGAGGTGCAAGACTGAGGGAAGAACAATCGCCAAACATTGCCAGAATACTGAGTGAGCTCCTGCCAAGTGTTTCTCTTGCCATGTGATTGGCAGCTCTCAGCTCAGCTAGCAGTGTGAATCAGCACAGAGCAACCAATACCACAATGATAACGTAATGCATTTTACACAGTATATATGATACTGTTTTATTCATCAGTTCTCAAATAATCTAAATCAAGATTTTACATCAGAAACATGTCAATGTATGAACCCACTCAAGTTCACCTTGACCTACACTCATCCTAAAGTCTGACACATCAATTGAACCTACACTTTGACCCCTGACTTTTGTTTCATAATGGAATTTCTTCCTAGGGGCTAGTTTCATAAACATAGCAACTGTCTTATAAACTAGTCTGGCCAACTAGTAGTTAGTAAAGGGGTAATTGGTCTTACTTTTTGAATTAGAGCAATATATCTGACAATCAATCAGTCAATCAATCAGCCAATAACAGTTACAAGTGATTAGCCCTAAAGAAAAAAAATCAGATGACTACTTAAATTAAAATTAGAAGACTATTGTAAGCAGTTTATGCAACTGATCTTCACACAGCAGGTAAATAACTCTTTGACCCTGTCCCAAATATTGCCCTCAGCCCTTGCTGTCCATAAGTACACACATTAGTGATACTGGTGGTCACACAAACCAGTGGATCTTACATGGTTCGCTTCGGGACTCTCATTTGATATTGAACGTCACAGAAACATTATTTATTGTACAAAAGTTATCAAATATGTACTTAAATCAAACTTAAATCTATTACTATTTATATGTAAATATTTGTAAAAAAAAAAAAAAGCTGGGCCATTAATTCACTGCACAATACATTAGTATTTACTAATTTGCTCTAAATAGTGCAGAGTTTTATTACATACCTTTTAATGTTTTTATTGTCTTTTAAAAGCAAAAAAAAACAAAAATTATATATATAATTTTGCTGTCATACTATGCATAATTATACAGTTATAATACATTTTTGAATATTTTCATTTGGCTTTTTTTTTTTTTTTGCCCTGCTGTTCAAGACCAGAACAGGCCTGTGAAATATCAGTTGAGAATTGCTGGGGCAGGTGGGCCACTGGATGACTTTTATATTTAATCTAACTTAATTAAAATTATATTAAAAAAAATACACATACATAAAATCAACCAAAATAATTTTTTATATTAAATGCATATAATACAGTGACACTCTCAGTTTCTTCTAATAAAATTTTGAAAACAAGCAGCAGAGTTACAGTAGGAAATATAAAGTGGGGCCTTTGAATGTTAAAGGGCTTTTGAGTCAAAAAATTTGAGAAACATTGGCCTACACTGTGAAGTCGGCACCAATAGATGGCACAGTTTGTGCATTACATAAATCACAGCTGCAGAACTTCTTAAAGAGGACAAACCATAGCACTGTAAACTTGACTGATGTGTCTATTATATATGATATACAGCATACTACTTGTACCAGAAATACCATTTTGATAGTACCCAAAGTGCCAGACGTACCCATTAGGATAGATATTAAATCACTATTCCAACTGACTAGGATTAAAATGTAATTTTTCTATTCCTTTTTCTATTATTGTAAATATATATTTACTTTTTTCTTTAATGTTATCTCACATTGTAAAAATGCATTTTTCATCAGCTCTGAATGGATGTGTAGTGCAGTGTTTCCCAAACTTTTTTTAGTCGCGGCACCCTTTGGAAATTTTAACAACCTTGTGGCACCCTACAAAATTTATTTTGTCACAATATTTGAATTTCTAACTTCGATATGATAATTTGAAAAGTATAGATATTCGGTACAACAGGGAAGAACTGCAGAATATAATGTCATACAGATATTTTTAATATTATTAAAAAAATGTGTCCATCAATGGTGGCAATCAGTAGGCTAATTTCTAATGAAGAGACCAATTTATAGGACAGATTTTAATGTAGGCTTTTATACATATGTAAACATTATTTAATTACCATTATAACTAGCTATCTCACAATGTTTACATATGAATAAAAGCCTACATTAAAATCTGTCATATAAATTGGTCTCTTCATTAGAAATTAGCCTACTGATTGCCACCATTGATGGACACGTTTTTTTAATAATATTAACGGCACCCCGGTTGGGAAACACTGGTGTAGTGTATGTAATGTGAAACCTGAAATTACTTGAATGATACAAGAAAAATGCATAGTCTATGATAAGTCAAGGATAATATTGCACAGTATATGATAATATCACAATGATGTGTATTAATCAGCTGAGTATTAATGAATTAAAAGTATCAATGTATTAATGAGTTGAGTCATTTATTCAAACTGTCAATATCGCACACTACTAGTAAGTACATTTAAAAAGTTATGTACCTGGTGACTTGCTGGACCGGACTGGAGAAAGATAGGGTTGGCGGGGAAGGAGCAGGGGGGAGGAAGGGAGGGAGACGGACACTCCTCTGGTCAAACTCGGCCTCAGCATCTCCTCTGCAGGGTACGGCTGTACTGGCAGCGGCCCACTCCCATGATTCTGAACACCCACAACCTCTTCCTGAACTCTGTGATGGAAACTGGGGCTGAGGGATTGACTTCCTGAGCAAAAATAAGAAAGACAAGAAAAAAAAGAATATATATTTGTTTTGGACACTTGATTAGAATTATATCTGCATGCAAATAATTGTGCACTTTTTAAACCAAGCCGAACATGAAAGTTCAGAATCCTGTGTCAGTGATCCATTCAACATGAGTCACTTATACAACCACAATAACAAACACTGAACATTTAGAACGGTTTGAGTCTTAAATTCGATTCATTGAGAAGTGAAAAAAAAAAATGCCTGTATGCTTTCCAGTTGGACGTCAGAAATCCAATTAGCTAAGTATCATTACCAATGGCTTTCTGTATCCAAGCCTTCAAAACCACTATAAAAACATACAGACAAACTACTAAGGCTGTCTCATGACCAACAGTAATATTATACATCTTTCTCCTCCTATAATAAGCACTTTCGAAGAAAGCTGAGAATTAAGCTCTTTTAACATTCCAAACCAAACATACAAGGCCTAAAGTTCCTCTCACCGCAACAGGGTTTCCCTTTCATGGGAACTTCGAACTGCGTCCTCTAGGGGTCGCTATGGGGGAACGCCTCGTTGTGACCCGTGTCTGAAGCATACATTGAAAAAACACCAACTCGTTGGCCGGCGACAGCCATGACGTCACTATGTGAGACATCGTCTCTAAAAACTCCCTCCTTGCCATCAGTGCCCCTTCAAACTACATCTCGCTTGAATGGCGGGTCATACGCAGCAGCAGGTCAGGCTGTTTCGCTTCGTTGCACACGATGGCGGTGCTCCAGGCATACCAGGCTGACCTGCTGAAAGACCTGGATAAAGGCGAGGGCCTTTTTCCTGATGAGATGGCTGAGTTGCGGCGCACCACGGATCTCGCTCTCCGTGCTACTAAGCAGGCCGCCTCTGCCATGGGCAGATCCATGGCG